CTCTCTCTCTCTCTCTCTCTCTCTCTCTCTCTCTCTCTCTCTCTCTCTCTCTCTCTCTCTCTCTGTGTGTGTGTGTGTGTGTGCTACTGGCTATAGTAGATCATGCCCTGCTCACGCAGGATGTGCAGAGGACGGCACACTATTACTGCTACTCTCTCCTGCTACAGCCGCCATGCCTCAACCGGAAACCCAACTGGGGCCTTCTTGATGAAGCGCTAACCAAGGCGGTGAAGATGAAAGTCCACCTGATCCAAACTAGGTCTTCTTGCCGGTGCCCTCCAGGCTCCTGCCTCCTCCTCTTCTACGACTAACACCTTCCTCTCACCTCCATAGCCAAATGTGGGCTTATTCCTCCCTCCAGAGCAGGACCACTTCTCCATGCCACTCCCTCATAGCCATGAAGGGCTTTTTCATCCCCCTCTTTTCTCCTCCTGCCTACCCTCTTTCTCCCCCTGTGGGCAGAGGAGCAGCATCACTGCCGGGTGAATGCCCTGCAGGCTGCTCGCCGTCGACTGACAAAACTTATCGCCTGGCTTCTGCCTGAGCTTGGCCTGTTTTCGGTGTTGCCTTGACAAGCCGAGGCACTCGGGCCTTACCGTCTTCACCCAAATAGAACACCCGGTCATTATCGCCGCATCTGGACTGAAAAATGCCCCAAATACAGCTATAATCGTCTTCACCCGAATAGAACACCCGGTCATTATCGCCGCATCTGGACTGAAAAATGCCCCAAATACAGCTATAATGACCGGGCGTTATATTTGGGTGAAGACCGTAGGCCCAACGGTTCCCCCTTTTGGGCTGGAATATCATTTGCAGGCCTTAAGCTTCCCCTGCAGGTCCACATCCCGCCTGATATCAGCCTACATTCAGGCTAGGCCCATTTCTTCTTCATGCCCTGCTCAGTCAATCCCCTGGGGTTTCCAGCGCAATCAATGCTGGCAGGAACTCCCAAAATCGTTTCACTAATGTACTTTCACTCTGTAAATGGGACGCTGGACCCGCTTTCCAGGAGGTGATGCTCCCCACCAATAGACAGAGCCTCTCCCCAGGTGCTAGTGGTGTCTGCAGCTCTTACCAGCACCACTAACACTGGTGGGGGAGTTGTTAAAAAAAAAGAAAAAAAGGGCTATGCCCATCACGACCCCTACCACCTATAGCCTACCGGACCTAGGACCTACCAACTTGCTTTCAAAAGTCCCTACTTGTCCCCATCTGTGTCTGTGTGTGTGCTCAAGGTGATGAGCACTGACGCTCAATGCAGCTTAGTCAACAACAACAACAACAACAACAACAACAACAACAACAACAACAACAAAAAAAAAAAAAAAAAGTCAGAAAAAAACAAAAATTTGGTCCCCAAATGTTGCTTTCACTGCCTTTCAGTGTTTTATCAGGGTTAACCATGTGTGGTCTTAAAGATTCACCGATGTACCTCCGATCCTCTTTTTACCACACATGGTTAACCCTGGTAAAACACCATGGTGGATTCACACTGCGCACCAAGTTTTGCCAAACTACCAGCTGCGCATTTTTTTTTCTTCTTTGGCTGGTGCTGCCAGCGATTGTGGCCCGTCTGCCTGACACGGCCGCGCCATTTTCGGATCGGCTCAATTTCGATTCTCTTTTTTTTTGTTTTTTTTTAATTATTATTTCGATTCTCAAGTCGAACTCTCTGTGGGGAGTGGTGAGTTAATTCATCAGCGAGGTAATTCATCTGCGAGGCAAGGCATCAATGACTTTAAGGCATATAGATGAGTTAAGATCTTAATGGGTTGTGAGTCTTGTGACATAAATGAGGTACTGGCTTAGCTCTTTTTTTTTTCTGTCTTTGATGTCTTGGTGTTCAAGTCTTTGTGGTCTTTTTCTGAAGCTGTCTCTGTGTTCTGTTTTTTCAGGTTTAGCGCATTTGTTCCGTCGCAGTACAAACCAATGTTCCAACAACTTTTGAAGACCCACTCATGTGATGTATCAAAGAATTCCAAACACAACTCCTCCTAAGTGCAGGTGATCTCTGCTCCACCCTCCTTTCCTCCTCTCCCCTGTCCATTGCACCCCTCTCCGTTTTCCCTCTTTCACCGCCCTGTGTGTGAGTATGTCTGTGTTCCAAAAACACAACTCCTCCCAAGTGCCCCCAGTCTGCAGAAACCATTGCTATAGACTCTAGGTAATCTAGTATTAATGCTTGGGGTCGCGTAGCTTTTGTTTTCCAGGATATTCTTGAATCGGTGCCCGGCGCCCGCGATATTATGGACTTGGAGATTATTAATGTGTCATGTGCCCGCCAGGAGGATATCATTCATGTGTCATCTGTGCCCGCAGATCTACACTTGTGATATGAAGGTACAGGTACTACAGGCTAATACTCCTGTTGTATTCCGTTTCTTTCCATTTCTGTTCCGTTACATGCCATTCTGTTCTCGCCACTCTCTTCTCTTCCGTTCTGTTCTGTTCCGTTCCTTTCTGTTATGTGATGTTCTATACCTTTCTCTTCTGATCTGTACCGTGCTGTTCACTTCGGTTCAGTTTGGTTCAGTTCCAGTCGGGTCCGGTCCGGTCCGTTCGGTTTGATTACTCCTGTTGTATTCCATTTCTTTCCATTTCTGTTCCGTTACATTCCGTTCTGTTCTAGCCTAGGCTACCAGAGTGGTCCGGGTCCACTTGCCCGGCCGGGCCAAAAAAAAAAAAAAAAAAAAAAGTATTTTTTGATTTAAAATTGTAATTTAAATTTGGTAAAGAATTTCGATGTGGCCCTGCAGCAAAAGTTGTTCAGTTTATTTTTCTGCATAACATAATTTTTTTTCGGATTTTTTGGACCTTTTTTTTTTTTTTTTTTTGGCTGGGACCTTCCCTACTCCTTGCACGGCCGGACCGCCTGGGAAAATAGGGTGACCCGGTCGGCCCGGCTGGTAGCCTAGGTTCTAGCCATTCTATTCTGTTCTGTTCTGTTCTGTTCTGTTCTGTTCTGTTCTGTTCTGTTCTGTTCTGTTCTGTTCTGTTCCGTTCCGTTCCTTTCTGTTAGGTGATGTTCTATACCTTTCTCTTCTGATCTGTACCGTGCCCACTGCGCGATACGCAGGGGTCCGAAGGCATTTACCAGCCCTCCCTCAATAGGCATGGCATCCTTCGCACGGTTACAAACAAAAATCACCGCTGAACCCACCAGACCGTGACCCCTGACTTCATCGGAGCCAGCAGCCACCCATCTTGAGACATCTCTTTCCCTGCACTCATTGCGACTTTCTCAAACATTGCAAACAAAAGTGACCCTTTTCGTCAGACTTTATCACTCACCAGACAACTTACCATGCCATAAATCAGTTTATTCCGTTTCTTTCCATTTCTGTTCCATTACATTCCGCTCTGTTCTAGCCATTCTATTATGTTCCATTCTGTTCTGTTCCGTTCCTTTTTGTTATGTGATGTTCTATACCTTTCTCTTCTGATCTGTACTGTGCTGTTCACTTCAGTTCGGTTAAGTTTGGTTCAGTTCCGGTCGGGTCCGTTTCGGTTCGCTTCGCTTCGCTTCGGTTCACTTCGGTTTGGTTTCCTTCTGTACAGATGACAGAGTTGCTCTTCACTAATACTTCTCAATGTTCTTTGTTTGCCAGGTTGATGTTCAGACATGCGCCACAACTGTCATCCCCGACGATAGCGAAGTATATAATATAATGAGCGCTGAAGCCTCTCAATCCTTCATAATGTGTACGCCGGCTCCAGTGTTCGATTCACTTCAGATGAAGAAGGTTTGAAGAGTCACAGCGGAGTGACAGTGATCCGTTGATCTCGGCCGTTTATTTCCAAGGAGAGGCAACCAGGATCCTCCGTCTTGGCTCCGAATTTCCGACCCCAACTTTCTAAAGATCCTCGACCACCTCGTGTCTTGTGGGGAGGAGTCGCCCGATATCGTATTTCCAGTTTATTTTTATGACTCAGAATCTTTTTTCTTCTTCTTTTTTCTTCTTCGCCTTTTTTTCCTTCTTGTTTTTTTCCTTTCTTGTTTTTTCCCAGAATCTTCAATGCCTATAGTACCCTATACCTAGATATATTTATAATCACTATTATGTTGTCTTCGTTTCTTTCTTCGCATCTTGTCTGGATCTTCTATCACAAGGAATTCCAATATAGGAGCACTTGTTCTTTGTCCAAAAAAAAAAAAAAAAAAAAAAAAAAAAAAAAAAAAGGTTTCAATTTTTGAGGCTTTAAGGATTTGTATTTGTAATTTTGTAGATTTGAGCAAATAGGCAGAGGCCTTCAGTTCTTGGGGGGAGCTGCCAATGGGGAAGGAAAATTTTGAAATTTCCATAGTTCTTGAATGACGTAGAGAGTTTGGGGAATTACTGTTTTCACCCGAATAGAACGTCTGGTCATTATAGCTGCTGTATGTGGTGCAATTTTCAGCCTAGATACAGTGATAATGACCTGCGTTATATTCAGGTGAAGATGGTAGTACTTGCTACCCTGCGTCTCCTTTTCGCGATTGACATCATCAACCGCTCGGACTTTTCTGTAAACGTTTCCATGAATTTTTCTCAATTGAGTGCTGCAGGTGGAGGGTTTTGGAACGTACGGCTTCTCTGGGATCGCCTTCTTTGGGGTTGGGTCTTTTTTTTAACCACCAGTACTTGGGCACTGCACGCCGCGCCGGCCGCACCTTTTTTGAAGCGGCGCGGGCTGTCGATACGATTTATCGACGGCCCGCCGGTAGCGAAATTCCCATAGCGTTAACGCTAAGGCGTCGCCCAAGTACTGGTGGTTTAACCGGATGGACAATGGGAGGCCCATCCTGCGAGGAGTACACAAGGTGAGAGCTGTAGATATGCTTGAGAGGGTAGGGGTGGATACGAGGGCGCGTCCTATATATTCTGGCGCTGGGGCTGGTTTTAGGGGTCGGAGCGGTCCTGGCGGGGGGGGCAGATAGAGACCAAGGGGCACTGCTTTCAGCAGGGAGTGGTGTTAAGCAGGGCTGTCACATTTGGAGAGGGTGGGTTGGAGGGCTTGGGGGAACTGCTGTTCCGCCGTGCGGCGGCAATACTTTTTTTGGTGGGAACTGTATGCCCGTGAGGGTAAAGGGGTGACCGTTTAGGGGGCTGTTCGGAACTGGGGTCGATGAGGGGAGAAGGGGCCTCCTCTTGGCGGAGAGGCAGTTTTAAGGCAGGGGGTGTGTTTTTTTCCTCGGAGGGAAGGGGGTGATCTCAGTGGCTGTGCGGTGAAGCCTCCTTACTCGTGTGGGTAGACGCCGGAAAGGAGGGGGTCCTGTCCTGCGGAGGTGGCATCTTGGAGGGAAGTGTTACGTGTTTTGGGGGGGGGTAAGGGCAGTAATTGAGGGGTGCACTATTTTGGGGCCGGGGTTGATGGAGTGTCGATCTTGGGCAGAGGCAGATAGTGGGAAGTGGTTGGTGTTAGTCCCCTTCCACGGTTGAAGGGAAAAAAAAAAAAAAAAAAAAAAAAAAAGAGGGTGCTTCCTCTCCCTTTGCCCTTTGCTGTGGAGGGAGTGGGAGACGGTTGGAAAGCCCGGGCGTTCTCTCCTTTGCGTGCTTCCTCTGTGACATTGCTGAGTCGGTCATATTCAGTGACTCGAAAATGGCCGATGCCAGAGCGACCCTGGCCGGAGCTGGGGCGAGGTGGCACACTACTGTAAGTTCTGTAACCTAGCCCAATGGGGGTGCGAGACCTTTTTTTTGTTTTGTTTTCCCTTCTGTCCGCTAGAAGAGGCTTGTCTCAATAGCTTAGCGAGTTGTTCACGACTTTCCGTGGAATATTCAGTAGATTTCTTACTCTTTGTGATCATCGGAATCTTGTCTCAAAGACTCTCAGTAGCTTAGTGAGTTGTTCGTGACTTTGCGTGGAATATTCAGTAGATTTTACTCAACTAGGTGAGTAGTTGTTTATGAATTTTCCTTTATTTTGAATTTTCCTGAATTTTGAATTTTCCTGAATTTTGAATTTTCCTAACTGTTCTCAGCCGAAGCCGAAGCCGAAGCCGGATAATGGCCTCGGTAGGGCCGGTTCCCAGCGCGATTTGCTCCCCACGCATAGGTCGGAGCATTGTCCCATTTGAGAAAAAGGACTCACCGCTTCCTGTCTTATGGGGACAAATCTTGAATGCTTTGTTCTGTTAGTCTTCATCCTCTTTTCTTTCTTTTATTGCCTGTCCCTCGCTCCTTCCCTCCTCCTCCTTCTCCTCCTCCTCCTCCTCCTCCTTTCTCCTCTCCCTTCTTCTTCTTCTTCTTCTTCTTCTTCTTCTTCTTCTTCTTCGTCGTCGTCGTCGTCGTCTCAGAGAGCACGAAGGGACGTAAATCGCTTCTAGAAGAAGTGTTGCGCCCCATTCTTGTCCGCCTACCTAATGGCTCGAAAATAACAGGAAGTTTAGGGTGAACACTCTACACTGTTTGACAGAACTCCCCTTGGAGTCACAGACCGCATTACGGTCATATGCAAGTTCATGCTGTGTGGTCCGTAGAGTCCAATTACTTCCCCAATGACTTTTCCACATTCTCCCCTTTCATTTCGGAGTGCTTGAAACATGTGAGGAAGTCGTTGGGATGATGGTGAACTGCGCAGCACTACGACATCGGAAATCACAGGGGCAGAGTGACTCGTGGGTGTGTGATCTACAACTGCTGAAGTTTGAAGAGTCGCAGTGAAGTCACGGGTGTCGAAAAGCCGACACGTCCTTTTTTTTTGGGGGGGGTCCCCAGAACGCATCTTGGGAGGCAGTCGAACAGATCGCATCCTCAGCGTGGGAAACTAAGGGATTAGCGGCACTGGAGGGCTGGTAGCCTGGTGGCCCGGGGAAAATGAAATACGGCCGGCCAGGGATTAACCAAGATACACGAGATCACACGCTCATCTACTTCAACTCCCCAGCCAGGGCGAGGGTGAGGGCGAGGGTGAGAGGGCAAGGGCTGAAAAACAAATACCAAGGGCTACGGGCTGAAAAAATACCGCAAGCAGATCAAGTTCTCGCGCAGCAAGCAACAAGCAAACAGTCGTCGTCTACCAAGCAACTTCAAAAAACTGCCCTGACCAATCGTAGCAAGGAAGTGTGGCGAAACAGTACAGCTGAACGAGGGGAAAGCAACAGAGAAGCAACAGCGCACTCGAAAAGGAGGAGAAATAGAAAGGGTAGAGGCTTGACAAGCGCGAACCGGGGGGAGAGGGTGGTGTGCAGAGTGGGGCACGGCTCTTCGCTAACCGATGCCTGCTGGAGCGATTGCCGCAGCCCAACCCCTGCTAGGGTGGTGTGCAGAGTGGGGCACGGCTCTTCACTAACCGATGCCTGCTGGAGCGATTGCTGCCGCCCAACCCCTCCTAAGCAGCGTCAGCGTGACCTAGTCCGGAGGTAATCGACTGTGCCTGCTATCCACTCGTACAAGCAAAACCCTCAGGACATTTGTTTTTGTTTTTTCAAAGGAAACAAAGGGGAGAAAAAAAAAGGGCGGGGGGAGAGGGGGGAAGAAAGAAGGCTTGTCATGTTAGCAGTACGGAGGCAAAGGGGGGCAAAAACCCGCCAAAATTATCGGCCCAGCACAGCACTCTTGACAAGGATACCGCCGATGTATGCATTCAGATAGGGCCTGCCAAATTTATTGAGCCAACATGTTGACAGAACTTAGCGGAGGGTGATGGCTGGCTGTCATGCTGGTGAGGCGTCTCCTCCGCAGATCGCTTGCTTCTGAGTGTCGTTGGGGGACAGCCCAGTGTCGCCCCCAGCCAGTTCATCATGTTCGAAACTTACCAGACGGAGTCAGGTCGCCTGACGAAGGCGAGCAAACACCACAGAGCTCGCAGGAACATATGGAGGCGGGCAAACAGTGTTGCCTGCATGCAGGTAGCGGTGATATCGACTACCGGCTGAAAGTGGCTTGTCGCCTTAGTGTGCCTGAGTGGGAAGTTTTTTTTTTTTTTTTTTTTTTTTTTTTAAACCCAGTCTAGCTGTTACGAGGGGTGATATGAGCAGGCCTGCCTAGCAGTCTTTCTGGTTGCTCCAGTCTATTCATGGGGAGCGTCACCTGCTGGAAATGGGTGCGGTCGAAGTGGAAAGTAGCCCCTGCGGACAGGCAAATGAGGCGGTTGGAATTCGAGCCCGAAACTGAGCAAAAGCTGATCGTAGCACTCCCGCCTAGTTAAAGCAGTGTCTCGAAAACAATCGAGCAAGCTCACTGGTCGCCAATTTAGTGACAATGGGCAGAGAGCAAGTCACATCCCGCAGTGCGTATTCCAGAATGTGCAGCTCCGCTTCGAAAGGCATCAACAAGCTGGACGACACCTTCCTACAGTTGATCGATAGTCTCCAACGTTTCGAAATACCCCGAACTGAAGTGGTGACCTGATTGAGTGTATGGAACACACTGGCTGACCCTGGATCGACAGGTCGGATGTACGGGGAGACGGTGTGAAGTATAAAACCACTGACAAAAGTGACCACAATACCACAATTAACATAACCACAGCCCGTCAGAGTATCAAACAGAAAACCCAATGAGGCATCAAACCGACTCAAAACATTTCTGACATAATCCATGGTGCGACCGCAGAATTTGATATAACAAGCACTGGCTCCCAGTGCAACCTCATAATTTATTTATTTTTATTTTTATTTTTATTTTTTAAAAACACGCTGATATGAGCACCCCCTCCCCTCCTAGCGGGCCGCCCGGTTGCTTCAATCTATTGGTGGGGTGCAGCACCTGCTGGAAAACGGGTCCAGAAAAAAATATATATTAAAAAAAAAACTTCAAAAAAGTGCAACCTGAAGAAATTGAAACACGAGTGGTGGTTACCAAGGCAGCCCCTCGTGAACCAAGAAAGCGACCAAACACGCGTGCTACGAAACATCGTCTCTCTCTAAAAAAAT